TTTTTTTTTGTACCGGGGATCGAACTCGGGTCCTTGCGCCTGCACAGCAGGCGGCGAAACCATTGAGCTAAATCCCTGGCCCTACAGGTTTAATTTCTAAACAATGTAGTTAAGCAGCTGGGCATGGTGGTGCATACCTGTGATCCCAGCACTTTGGAGGCTGGGGCAGGAGGATTGCAAATTCAAGGACACCCTGAGCTACACCTACATAGTGACATCCTGTCTCAAAAACAAAACAGACCAGGGATGTAGCTCATTGGTGCCTTGCCTGGCTGACAAGCGCAAGGTCCTGAGTTCGATCCCAGGTACCCAAAACAAAACAAAACAAAACAGGCCAGGTGTGGTGGCCCATGCCTGTAATCCCAGTACTCTGGAGGCAGAGGCAGGAGGACTGCCAAGGAGTTAGAGGCCAGCTTGAGCTACACAGTGAGCTACATAGCAAGACTACATAGCAAGACCCTGTCTCAAAAACCAAACCAAACCAAACCAACCCCAAACAAACAACAAACAAAAGAGAAAAAAAATGCCATGATAAAAGCCAATATTCTACAACACTGACATGTACTGGTATTATAAAAAAGGGGGGGGGGCTGGGGATTTAGCTCAGTGGCCCCACTGCTGCCTTGCAGGTGAAAGATCCTGAGTTTGAGCCCCTGAACTAGGGGGAAAAAGAAAAATACATATATATATATATATGAAAGAAATCCTGCCAAACTTAATTTAGTTACCTATGAATATCCCAGATTTTATGTTTAAAACCCATACATACACGATATATAACAAAACCACAAGGTACAGATCTTTTTGGCTTCTCCCCTCAGGGAGTGGAGCTTAAATTCAGCAAACTTGGCAGGGCCTGCCCCCTCCCTCTCTAAACCATTAACACCTTGGCAACGGGAGGAGCCAGCCTGCAAGTTGACAGGTCTTTTCAAGGACAGATATTAAATGCAGTAACCCTGTGAAATCCTATGCGTCAGCACCAGGAGCTTGTTAAGTATTTCTATGGCACTTGGGCAGGGTGGGCCAGGAAGACTGTGACTGCGCGGAAGAAAGCATGCTGCGCCCGGCCTGGACTCTGTGCTGTTGGAGGATCAGGATTCTGTCAAGGAAATAGTTGGAAATCTAACCAATTTCATTAAATCTGGGCAACAAAATGATCCATAGACAAATCTCTACTTCATCCTGTGGAAGCAAAGGATTAGAAGATACCATGGACATGTTAATAGGGATGTTGATTATATGTACATCGGGACACCCTGCATCAAGCATGGTTGGAGGGGTTTTCTGGTTTTGTGTTTTCTTTCTGTAGTACCGGGTAATGAACCCAGGGCCTCTGCACTGAGCTACATTCTCAGCCCTTTTAATGTTTTTATTTTCAGACAGAGTTTCACTATGTTGCTCAGCTGGGCTTGAACTTGTGATCCCCCTGCCTCAGCCTCCTAGAGTGCTAGGATCACAGGTGTGCACCACCATGCCCAGAGATTTTAAATATTTTTGTATATATTATCTCATTTAAGAGTAAAAGCATCACCGTGAAGTAGGAATTATTACCTTTACTTATAGATGAAGAGAAACTTACAAAGTTCTATCCAATATATTGATTCCAACTCAGTACCTGATATTATGTTATATTCTATAGCATAATACTAATTTGAGGGGTTCTTTATTACTTCAGTTATGTCTGTATCTGATCTTTCAGATTACCACTAAATTTAACTAAGTTTCTTTGAAATTAATTTGCTTTTAGATTCTCTATACTCATCTCAAGACAATTTCAATAGATTTTGTTTTTTGAGACAGGGTCTCACTGTGTAGTTCAAGCTGGCCTTGAACTCACTATGTAGCCCAGGCTGGCCTTTAACTTGAGGTCCTCCTGCCTCAGCCCCTTGAGTAGTTGGGATTACAGGTATGCACCACCACGACACAATGTCTTTTTTGTCTTTTTTTTCTTTTTGGTACCAGGGATTGAACTCGGGTCCTTGCACTTGCACAGCAGGTGGTGAAACCACTGAGCTAAATCCTTGGCCCTACACAATGTCTTAATGAGCAAAATCTTGTTGCAATAGACTATTTCCTTTCTGCTCTGCAACTCTTTATGCCAGGGGCTGTTGTGTGGATATTTAGAATGTTTTAGTCTCAAGCTGCTTCCATCCAACTTAGGTAGACTAGAAAGCTAAGAGGCACACTTAGAAACAATATCAAGATAAAGCAGTACAAGATTATACACAGGGTCAGAGAGAAGGACACAGGGAGAAAGCAAGTGGTGACAGTCTAGAAAGCTCAGAAAGACCCAAAATGTGACCCAGGGAGGACAAAGTCCAAGGGTGCCATGCAGCTTGGCAGAAGGCACTGAGTGGTTGCAATCTCAGCCAGCAACGGGCACAGGAAGACTCACTTGTGGAACCTTCTCGGACTTTCTTTTTTTTTGGTACTGGGGATCAAACTCGGGACCTTGTGCTTTCGAGACAGGCGCCAGAACCACTGAGCTAAATCCCTGGCCCTCCTTCTCGGAGTTTCATAAAAAGTGAGAGAGTGGATTAGGATGATGTCAGAGGTCTGCTGGACTCTGAGAGAAGCTCGGAGTGGAGGTTGTCCGGCAGTGGTTGTGGGCAGGAAGCCTGAGGACTAAAGGGGATCCACAGATTCTGAAGTCGAGGTGTGAGGGTTTGGGGCAAGAGGTGAGGCGACCCCTGTTCTCCAAAAATAAATTCATACTCATTGCTTTTACAAGCTAAGTGCAGTAAATCTGGGTTAAAATATTTGCATACCCCGCCTTTACCTGGTCAACGGGCAAAAAAAAAAAATCTAGAAGTACGTGGCTGAAAGAATGCCTCTAGAGAGTTATCGGTAGAGAGACTTTTGGGTTTAAAAGAACAATAGCATCACATATGGCCCCATCATGATCTACGACAAACCCCTGAATTTCACTGAACCAGAGTTTTCCTAGCCTTATAGTAGTGCAAGAGCACCTACTTCACTGGAGTGCTTAAAGGACAAAGCAAGACTGTCTGGGAAAGGGACCTGGCGTCTGCCCCGTGCTATGCAGTTACGTTGGCACACGGGTGACGGAATAACCGACACTCACCCATCCAATGTGTCAATACCAGGGTGGCCCTGAGGACGGCCTCTGGCTCCAGAGTCCCTAGTCTAGCTGGGTGAAGGGACAGCATGTGATGTTTTACTGCAACTTTCTTATGAGAGCACGGTGGACAGAGGGGATGGTAGGTAAAAGTTTAAATTTGCTGGGTATGGGGAGGCATGCCTATAATTCCAGCTGCTCAAGAGGCTGAGTGCGAAGGCCCTGGGTTCAATCCCTAGTGCCAGAACAAACAAAAATGTCATGCTTTATTGTGTAAATTGAAGTCTTATAAAGAATTTGAAGTCCAATTCACAGAAAGTAGAATGAGAGATGCCAGGGCCTTGGAGGAGGTGAATGGGCAGTGTTTAACAGACACAGAATTTCAGTTGTAAATGAAAAATGTGTAGGGACTGTTGATAGTGGCGGGAATGCTCTTAATGGGAATGTTCTTAGTGCCACAGACCTACACACTTAAAAATGGCTAAAATGGTAGATTTATGTTACATATGTTTTGTCATGAATGTAAAAAAAAAGAAGTTAAAGCCAATCACAGAAAATCTTTATAACTGTACTCACGAAGGAGCGATATCCAGATGGTTGATGCTAAATCCGGAAGAGCAAAGGCCTCCCAGTGTTGTTGATATGGTCAGGAACGTGACTGCCAAAGAATAGTCACAGCCTATAAATCCAGCAGCCACCAGAAACACCGCGGGCCCAATCATTCCTGGAGGGAAAAGTTGGAAAAGCAGCTCTGGCATTCACATTTGCTGTAGCTTAAGAAGGCACGGAGCTGAAACGTGACACTGATGCCACATGCTGTACAAACACGGAGCTGATGTTCACAAAAATACTTAGAAACTTGCTTGGTATGGTGGCGCACACCTGTGATCCCAGCACTCAGGAGGCTGAGGCAGGGGGATTATTGTGAGTTCAAGGTCAGCATGAACTACAGAGTGAGACCCTGTCTCAAAAAAAAACTTTTTTTTTTTTGGTACCGGGGATCGAACTTGGGACCTTGCACTTGCAAGGCAGGTGGCGGAACCACTGAGCTAAATCCCTGGCCCAAAAAATTATATTTTGAGACAGGGTGTTGCTAAGTTGGTAAGTTACCCAGGCTAGGCTTGAACTTGTGATTTTCCTGCTTCAGCCTCCTAAAGTGCTAGGATTACAGGGACTGTGCCACTGTGTCCAGCTAGAATATTGTAAATCTTAGCTCTTAAAATACATGGCTCAAAAAGAACTACCATGTACAGAAATATATAAAATGCATCATAGTGTTTTAAACAAAATAAATGCCTTTAAAAATTTTTTCCTTGCACTGTTGTGAGACTGTGGCAGAAGAAGAAATATGTATTTGGTTTCTGCCCTTGATTCCTGGCACACAGTCCCTAAAATCCTTGGAATCTCTGGAGTGAGAAGAGTATTTCGTTTTGGTAAGAGATGACTGGTGGCAGTAGGAGAGGTTCCCCATGGACAGTGGTCACCGGAGAGACCAAGCCGGGACTAGGCTGAGAATGGTACCCCTCCCCTTTCTCAGGAGGGAAAGAAGCTGCAGGTTGAGGTGGGCGCTGTGGCAGGGACGCACTCAGCGGAAGCCTCCACAGACTCCAGAGCAGGGGTCTGGAAGATCTCCCAACAGCAGGCAGGATGCAACCAGGGTCCCGGCGGGTGGCAATCCTGGGAGGATCGGATGCGGCCCGCCAAGCCCTGCCCCTTGGCCTCAGCACCTCTTCTGTCTGGCCACTCACCTGTGTCCTTTGAACAGCGAGGAAACACATAGTGCTCACGCGCGTCCCTGAGCCGCTCTACATGCTGGGGGTCTTGGGAAGCCTGGTTAGAGCGGCTCAGAAGGGCAGGTCAAACCCTCGACTTGCAGGGGCAGCCGCGGCCCAGGGCCCAGTGGGGCGCCTGTGCCTGGGGGCCAGCACCTCCCCTCTGGGCACCAACGCACAGGCCAGGCCAGGCCGTTGTCTCCGGGAACTGCTGACCAGGTAAAGGCTTCCTGGATTAAGTAGTGAGTACACTGCAGGTGAGAGGGGACGCAATCCCCACCTCCAGTAACCGTACACCAAAACAACCCGATTAACTTCACTTACCTATAAGCGTGAAAGTCCTGCGAACACAGAGAGTTGAAAAATTCCACTTTGCCCTTAAGCTGTCGGCGGCCTGACCGGACAGGATCATGCACAGCCAACTGCCAAAGTATGGCAGCGCAGACAGAAACCCATTCTGCAAGGGGCAGGAAGAGCCAGGAATAATTACAATGAACACGACCACAGCTAACCACCAGCACTTGAAACATGCATAGCAGTACACCGGTCAGGTTTATATAACTGCAGTGAGGAGAGCTGGCTTTGGAAGGGCTCCCGGACCCAGCCCATCTCCGCTGGACCCAGCCCACGCCTCTCCCTGCTCTAGGGGATCACGGCTGTCCTTGGATTTGCTTTGTGGGAGACACAGGCCTTCGGACTCGCCTGTGGGTTCTCGCCACTGAGGAGTTTTTGTGTTCAGTACTATTTATTTAACAAAATAAAAATTTATTTGTTGTATTTATTTAAAAATTCTTACTGTAAAGTCAAATGCACCCACAGAAAATCAAACAAATCAAATATATAGCTTGATGAATTATTCTAAGAACCATGTAGGTCAAGATAAAGAGCTAAATTTTGAGTCTTTAAATTTTTTCCCCCAATACTGCAGATTAAACCCAGGGGTTTCACACTGAGCTATATCCCTAGCTCTTTTGATTCATTGATTAATTTTTTGGTAACAGAGATCGAACTCAGGACCTTGTGCTTGAGATGCGGGCGGCACCACTAAGCTAAATCCCCAGCCCTTATCTTTTATTTTTTAGGTACCGGGGATCGAACTCAGGTCCTTGGGCTTTTTATTTTTTATTTTGAGACAGGGTCTCACCAAGGCCATTAAATTGCTCAGGTTGGGCCCAAACATGTGATCCTCCTGCCTCAGTCTCCCAGAGTGCTGGATTAAAGGTGTGTATCACCACACCAGCTACATCTACTATTTTTTTTTTTTGGTACTGGGAATTAAACTCAGGACCTTGCACTTGTGAGGCAGGTGCAGTGTCACTGAGCTAAATCCCCGGCCCAGCTACATCTACTATTTGTGGCAGCAGATTCCACATGCATAAACTGTAACAAATCAGAGAGGTTTTTGTCTTTTTCCCTTGTGGGATAAAACTGGTAATCCTGAGGCTGGATGTGGTCACACATGCCTATAATCTCAGCACTCGGGAGGCTGAGGCTGGAGGATTAGAAGTTTAAGTGCAGCCTGGCCAATTTAGTGACAACCTGTCTCAGAAGAAAAAAGAGCTGGGGGTGCAACTCAGTGGTAGAGCACTTGCCTAACATATGCAAGGCCCTGGGTTCAATCCTCTGTACCACAAGAACAAAGAAAACAACAAAACACTGATTAAAAAATATTAATATCCCAAAAAAAGAAATATATATCACCTCAACTCTTTTTTTATTTTTTTAAATTCTTTTTTTACCTCAACTCTTTTTAAGTTGTTAAGAATTAGGAATACAAAATTGAAAAAAAACTAGGAAAGAAGTGATGATAATCTAATGATAATAAACTTATATAAAAAAACAAGCTTGTAATAAGACAAAGCTTTAATAATTAAAAATGAGATAATAATTTAAAATAGCGTGCTTCTCAAAGCAAGCTTTATTTTGAACAAAGGCCATTTTGTAAAAATATTGATTTAAAAACAAGAACAGGGCCGGGGATTTAGCTCAGTGGTGCTGCACGTGCCTGAGAAGCACTAGGTCCCAAGTTCCATCCCCAGTACCAAAAAAAACAAAAACAAAAACATTAAGCCAGTCTTGATGGCACACACCTGTAACAGTAGCACTCTGGGAGGTTGCAGGAGAGTGCAAGTTCGAGCCTAGCCTGGGCAACTTAGCGAGACTCTGTCTCAAAAAAATAAAAAAGGCTGAGGATGTAGCTCAGGGCAAAGGCCTTGGGTTCAGTCCCCAGGGAGGGGAACGAACACACACACACACACACACACACACACACACACACACTGAAAACAGGCTTCTATACAATCATGTATTTCCAAACCCTATTCACATTTCATGTGTTGGTGCTGGGGACAAACCCAGAGCCTCCTGCATGCTAGGAAACGCTCTATCACTGAGCTGCACGCCCAGAGAGGATCTTGGCTACAGATCTAGGAGTAGAACTGCTGGGTCATATGAGTCTGGGTTTAACTTTTTTAGGAAGTGACACAGTGGTGTAGCAGCTGCTTTGCACTGCCACCACCAAATGTGTGGTTGTGCCGCCTCTTCTGTGTCCTTACCACACGTCCTATTTTTGTGTTCGAGTGTGTGTATAACAGAAAGCCTAGCAGGTGTGAAGTAGCATCTCTTTCTGGACTTGATGTGCATGTCCCTAATGACCAATGAGGCTCAGCATCTTTACAAGTGCTTACTGGCCATCTGTGTATCTTCAGAGCAATATTATTTGTCTTTTTGCCCATTAAAAAAACTGGCTTGTCTTTTTAAGCTGGGTATGGTGGCACACCTCTGTAATCCCAGCACTTGAGAGGCTAAGGCATGAGGATTGCCACAAGTTCGAGGCCAGCCTGGGCTATATAGCCAGACCCTGTCTCAAAACAAAACCAAACAACAAAACAAAACCCCCCAAAATTGGGTTGTCTTTTTATCACTGAGTTGTAAGAATTCTTAATATATTCTAGATAGCTGACCCTTATCAAATATATGACTTTAAAATGTTTTCTCTCATTCAATGGGTTGCCTTTTCTTTTATCTTGGTACCAGGGATCGAACTTACAACCTTGTGCTTGTGAGGCATGGTGCCACTGAGCTAAATCCCTGGCCCTGCCTTTCCATTTTTTTTTTTTTTTTCTTTTTTGGTACCGGGGATTGAACTTGGGTCCTTGCGCTTTCGAGGTAGGCGGTGGAACCACTGAGCCAAATCCCCAGCCCTTCCATTTTCTTGATAGTGGCCTCTGATGCACAAGAGTTTTTAAGTCAGGGTCTCAATATGTAGTTCAGTCTGGCTTTGAACTTGCAGTGATCTTCCTACCTCAGTCTCCTGAGTGCTGGGATTACAGATATGCCTCACTATGCCTGGCAGGATTTTTTTTTTTTTTTTTTGGTATTGGGGATTGAACTCGGGACCTTGTGCTTGCGAGGCAGGTGCCGGAACCACTGAGCTAAATCCCTGGCCCAGAATTTTTTAATTTTGAAGTTAAGTGTGTCTATTTTCCTCTTTGGCTGCTTGTGCGATAGGTTTCATGACGTGACAGTTAAGGATGTCAGATGTGACACCTGGGATTAGGAGCGCACAGCGCGGGGCGTGCAGCTCACAGGAAGAAACATGCTGGGACTCGGGACACCCTGGGACTCATCGCCAGCACAAGACAACCACAGTGCACACTGGGAAGAGAAGGAGTGACAGTGGGGTGAATGAGAGCGTAACATTGAGCAGGGCAGAGGAAAACTGACTGCCTTTCCTAGCGGCCAGAAGCTCTGCATGCAGCTTTAACCATATGCTCTGTATGTGAAGCACATGGTCACGGTTCTTACCTCTTGAACATTGAACCTCAGGATCTCCTTCATGTAAGTAGGCAGCAAGGTCAATAAGGTATAAAAAGTCCAGTTGTAAGAAAAATGTGCCATGACAATAGCCCAGAGCGGCAGTGATTTCAAAATGGGAATCCATGGCACTGACTTCCTCGAAGAGAGCTAAGGGAAACAAACAGCAGAGGGAGGGTAAGCGAGGCCGTGAGACCCGAACCTCAGCAGCCAGGCCTCCCCCAGGACAGCACCGCCTCGGCCTGGAGCAGCAAATCCTGGACCTTGGTCAGCTCCTCTGGAATATTTCAGCAAAACACAGGGCAAAGGATTAGTGTCGCACCCTCCCTCTGCTCTCCACCTTGCATAAGTCTAACTTTACAGTTTCTACCTGTCCAAGGGAATCTGTGGCTTTTTAAGCCAAGTTTAATTAAAATAAACCACACAAGACTGACAGTGTCTTCAAGATCCCCGAACAGCAACAGTCAATAGACATGAGTTCCAGTAACAGCAGTTCAGGAGGGGAGCTTCAGGTTCTTTCAGCATCCTCAGCCAGGCACCAAGGAAGGAGCTGACCTGCATCTCATCTCACACCCAGACACCCGCTCTCCTCAGGCAGCCTTATCAGGCTAACAAGTTTTTTTTTTTTGTACCCCGTCTCCAAAACAAACAAACAGACAGACAGACAGATATTTCCTGGATCTACTTTCCATTTCCCCTGAGCCCATTTCTGTGACCTTATGGCACACAGGAGGCCAGCAGGACATGTGCATGACTGGTGAAAACACTGCTTATGGATGGCTGGCAAGACAGCAGAGTTTGGAGATCACGGTTCTGGGCAGAGTTTTACATTTCCTGCCAACTGAAGCTTGCGGTTCATTTCTCAAAAGTGAGAGGAATCTATGTCTCTGCCTCTAGATTCACTGTTATTTTAGAAAGAGGGAGAACTGGTATTAACCTTCCTGTGGCCTTCTGCCTAGGGAGTTTTTTTCTTGTGGTGGTACTGAGAATTGAATCCAGGGCTTCTGTACAGAGCCCCAGGCCTTATTATTTTATTTTCAGACAGTGTCTCGTTAAGTCACTAAGTTGCCCCGGCTGGGTTTGAATGTGCCATCTTCCTGCCTCAGCCTCCCGAAGGGGTGGGGCTACAGGTGTGTGCCCTCATACTCAGGACTTTTTATTTGACTACTTTGGAGATACACTTTTGTTTCCCAGTATATAACAAAGATGTAAGATACAAGGGAAGAATGCATTTATTCTTTTAGAGAAATGGTTCTTAATTCCAATTGTTCTTCAGAATTACCTCCAGCACTTTCAAAATTATAGCTGTCTGTACTCTAACCTAGTGAATAAGCAGAACAGAACAAAACAAAGCAAAACAAAAATCTGCAATGCCAAGGAATGTAACTTTTTTTTGGTTTTTTTTTAAGGAATGCAATTTTTTTTTTTTTTTTGCTTTTTGAGGCAGGGTCTCCCTTTGTAGTTCAGGCTGGCCCTGAACTCACTATGTAGCCCAGGCTGGCCTTGAACTCCCAGTGATCCTCCTACCTCAGCCTCCTGAGTGCTGGGATTACAGGCATGTGCCACCACGCCCAGCAAGAATGTAACTTTTAAAAGGTGTCACAGATGACTCTGATGAGCAATGCATCCTAAGATTTGCTGAGTGTCAGAATTATCAAAAAAAAAAGAAAGAAAGAAAGAATTATCCAGGGAAGCTGGTGGGCAGTGGCACACTTCTGCAATCTTAGCACTTGGGAGGCTAAGGCAGGAGGATCTCTGTGAGTTCAAGGCCAACCTGAGCAAGGCCAGCCTGGACTGGATCATGAAGCCCTGTCTCAAAAACAAATAAAATGAAAAACAACCTCCCCTAAAGTATCTTTTAGACAAAATCCTTCAAGAGTTTAAGGTAGCACTAACAGAACCCACCTACAGTGATAGAGATGTAGATTTGTGTTGTCTAATATGGCAACCAGTGACACACGTGGCAGCCTGAGGTTCGTTCGTTCTTTCTTTCTTTCTTTCTTTCTTTCTTTCTTTCTTTCTAACTGCAAACATCTAAAATAATTTATTGTCAGCAAATGGTAGCTGTGAAAAAGGCAAAAAAGCTGGGTGTGGTGGGTCATGCCTGTAATCCCAGCACTTGGGAGGCTGAGGCAGGAGGAATTGCCATGAGTTAGAGGCCAGCCTGGACTACATGAGACCTTGTCTCAAAAAAAAAAAAAAAAAAAAAGGACATATACAAAAAAGACTGGAAGTTCTAATTATTACAGATAACTAACTGCTTTTCATGGGGGAGGGGAGTGTGGTATAGGAGAGAGAATATATCTTCCCCATCCCAGAAAAAAAGTTTTTATTTTTTATGTTGCTTTGTTTTTAAAACACCCATGCAAAACCTTGTTACTCTACTCTATGGCATATGAATTGTAGCTCAATAAAGTTGTTTTTTTTTTTTTTTAAAAAAAAAACCCAACACCCAGCTAAAACAAACAAAAAACACCCAGCTAAACTATCCCGGTGATGTGAAATTCACAGAGACAGAGTCCAAGTGTAACAAAGGCAAAGGTGAGTAGAGGGTGTAAGGTGGCAGCTAATGAAACAGTACAAAATGGAACAACTTTGTCTTAGAGCCACCCAGACAATCCTAAAATAGGTTAAAATCTGGGCCAGGGATTTAGCTCAGTGGCGCCAGCACCTGCCTCACAAACGGAAGGTCCTGAGTTCAATCCCTGATGCCAAAAAAAAAAAAGGTTAAAATCTACTCAAAGGACCAAAGTCTACTGCAAACCCTCTCTGTGGCCAGGAAAGCATGTTCTACATCCCTTCTTCCCTTGCTCCACTTCTGCCCTCACACTGGAGAAAGCAAAGGTGCAGCTTCAGAAAAGAAACCAGAGTGCGTCAGTGAGATGATTCCCTGCGGCTGTCTGGCTCTCTCCCCACCTCCGGTCACCGCTGCTGGGGGTGTAAGGTAAGTCTCTTTCAGATGACATTTTCTTATCCATCTTTTTGAGAAAAAATAAATCACGAGAAATAGATAAACTTTCTAGTTTTAGTGTTTGTGAAAAACAACCTGTTTTGTTCTCTGCAAAACTTCATTCTTCCCTGGGCCAGGGATTTAGCTCAGTGGTTCCACTGCCTGCCTCCAAGTGCAAGGTCCCAAGTTCAATCCCCGGTACCAAAAAAAAGAAAAAAACAAAAAAAATCCTTCATTCTTCCCAACATCCAGCACACACTACTCCTGACAACAGACAAGGAACAGGGTAAGGCTGCAATTCCAGCATCTGAGGTACATGGGACAGGCCTTCTAGTTCCCCAAAAATGAGCCGACAGGTGCTCTGTCTTCTGGGAATTAAGAATCTGTACAAAACACCACCTCTGTCTTCTGTGGAGTGTATAAGCAATCCACACTCCAGGAAAATCCCTCTTCTGAAGGAAGTGGTAATTCCCAGAATTTCTGGTGAAACCAAAGCTCTTGTAATACAGATTACTAACTTTGTCCAGTGAGCCTTTTCTGAGGTGTTACTGGCAGGGAAACAAAACACAGCAGCTTTCTTCTGACTTGGGAGTCCTAGCCACTGTTTCTTCACTAACAGGGAGCCACAATGAACCAATAAAGAGCAAAACAAAAACAAAACGGGGACAGAAGGTACACATATGTAAGGAAATGGTGAGGACAAAAAACAATTCACACAAGAAAATCTTTCATCTGTAATTCAGACCCTGAACAACTTTCCTCATCCCCTAAAACTCTTCAATCTTAATGCTCTTAAAATCTCAAAGAGCACACAAGTCACCATGAACCTATCATCCTCCCCTAAGAAGGCTTCCAAAAAAGCACTACTCTAGTGATTTTGTTAGTGCTGAGGAACAGCTTTCTGCAAAGGCCAGGGAGGGGGCAGTTACGATTTTACAGCTGGCTGTGCTTCTTCAATCCTAGGCCTTGCCTTCAAAGAGCCTCTTGTGGAAAGGATCCCATGTCAGAACAATCTAACTTCTCCCAGCCCCACAAAACAGCAATGAAGACCTCACCCCTGCAAAAAACCAGACTTTCCGTAATAAATAATCTCGGGTTCCACAAAACACACATGTTCAAAGTGCAGGTTTCTGCCATTAGCGTGGAACTTTCCTCACCGGCGCACTGACAGCCCTGAGTCACAGCCAGAGACTCGAGGGAGGGCAGCCTCCTCCCGCTTGGGAGGGGATCCGAGGTGACCCAGTTGCTTCCGCTACGTCAGAGACCCCAGCTGCTGCGCTTCCCGGGCACCGCCCTCCCGCTCTGCTGACCGCAGCTTCTTTGGAAGGCGCCATCCAGGCACAGCGCTGTCACCAGTGGGAAAGGAAAGAGCAGGCCACGTCTACCCTCGGCGGGCTGCCCGCGTCCTCCCAGCCGGGCCACTCGGCGAGCGAGACACTTCGAGATGGGAAGCAGCCTGCTCCCTGGTCAGGCCGAGCATGGGCAGAATCCAGAATGACAGAAACGACAAAAAAGCAAGCTCCTTCCTCTCCTCGCCAATACGCAACGACTGTGTCTGTACCAACTACAGATCTAGCCCTACCTTCTGGAGAAAAATCAAGATCTTACGATTCTAAAAGTAGCAGCAAATCCAGAACAAAACACTGGCCCTTGTAAGCTCTCCCCTAAGCCATCCAGCCGGTCTACGTTGACAAACCCCTTCCAGATGTCCCCGAGCGCCCCAGAGCTCCCCCTGGTGGGCTTTCTCCCCACTGCAGCCAGCCCCGGGCTAGCTTGAGGCCTGCAGCGCTCCGGACAGCTCCGAGGAGAAGCGCCCACGCCTGGGAGGGATCCACCTGCGGCGCCCAACACAACCCCTGCAGGCCACGTGCCACCAGGGGTCTCCATCCACGCCTGTCTCCCCGCAGAGCCCACAGGCTCGGGGAAACCCCGCCTTCCTTCCCCCTTTTATTTAAGTCCTCAGTACCTCATGAAGAGCCCAACTTCTAAAAAAAATAAAGTTCAAAGAATTAACGCAGGGGCCGGGGATTTAGCTTAGTGGCGCAAGGTCCTGAGTTTGATCCCTAGAACAAAAAAAAAAGAAAAAAAAAAAGAATGAATGCGGTACAGTCGATGCATTCCTCTGATCCAAGACTTACAGGTGCAGCTCCACGGAACACCATTATTATCTTTTGGTACCAGGGGATCGAACTCAGGACCTTGTGTTTGTGAGGCAGGCAGTGGCATCACTGAGCTCCCCGGCCCACCATCATTATTTTTTGATACAGAATCTCATTAGGTTGCCCAGGCAGGATCTTCCTGCCTCAGCCTTCTGCATACTGGGACACACAGGTGTGTGCTCTCGTATTATTTTACAGTGTTTTCAACTACATCATTTTCTTTAAGAATGCAGACTGGGGTTCAATGAAACCTAATTCTAGTAACTCCACTTGTTTCTGAAAATTGTATTTTCTGAAGTGCATCAAAACCCACCTAGGTTTGGATATTGGCAAGGTTCAGAAAGCTTTTTTTTTTTTTCTTTTCGTTTTGTTTTGTACGGTCTCACTATGTAGTTCAGGCCGGTCTTGAACTCACTATGTAGCCCAGGGTGGCCTCAAACTAACAGTGATCCTTCTGCCTCAGCCTCCTGAATGCTGGGATTACAGGTGTGGCTGAGAAAGTTTTTTTAAAAAAAATCTAAATAAGCTGGGGATGTAGCTCAGTGGCACAGTGCCTGCCTGGCAAGCCCAAGGTTCTGAGTTTGATTCCCAGTACTAGAAAAAAAACCCTAAATAGACTAAGAAACATCATAAACTCATAAAAATAACAGTGAAAATGAAGTATTAGAGGAAGCAAGGTATTAACTATAAATTCTGAAAAATGTGACAAAACATCAAATTTTATCTGCTTCTTATTCTTTGGTACTGGAAATTGAACTCGGGACCTTATGTTTTAGAGGCAGGTGGTGGCACCACTGAGCTAAATCCCCAGCCCCCCTCTGCTTCTTATTCTTATGGGGTAGGGGACTCATCTGATTAGCATCATGGGTGACACTAAACTTTTTTTTTGACACTAAACTTTTAAAGGAATTATCTTTATTTTTTTTGGTACCAGGGATTGAACTTGGGTCCTTGCACTTGCGCAGCAGGCGGCGAAACCACTGAGCCAAATCCCTGGCCCAGGAATTCTCTTTATTACATTGCTGATTTCTTAAAATTTTGCCAGCCTTTGAAAAAAGGCCAAGAGAAGTCATATTTCCTAAAGGTCAGCATCTTGTAGAGACATTTGCAGCAAAAATTTAAAATTTAGAAAAAAATGTCAATGAATATTTTTAGTTACTACCTAGTTATACTACGTATCAGAATTTAACATATCAATCATAACAACAATGGGCAAGAAAAGTTTTATACGAAATATTTATTGTTCTTAAGCCAATAATGTGACTTGGAAGGCAGAAGAATGCCAACAAAAGCCAGGGATGGTAGTGCTCATCTGTGATTCCTGCACTCAGGAGGCTGAGGCAGGAGGATTGCTGTGGGTTCAAGGATGGCCTGGGCCACACAGTGAGTTCAAAGCCAGTCTGGAACTCACAGTGAGACCATGTCAAAAAAGAAAACAAAACCCAAACAAACCCAAAGAGTGCTTAGATTTAAAGTTTTTCAAAATGTTATGCTCTTTTTTTATTCCACCCAAAAGGCAAATATTTTGTTTTTATGGCTTGAGAATTTGCTATACTGAATGATGACAGTGCCTGAGGGTCAAACCCACGGCCTGGTGCTCCTAGGGAAGTGATCTGCTAGGGATTCTCCCGCCTTAGCCTCTGAGCAGCTGGGAGTACAGGTTTACACCCCCAGTGCCCAGACACTGGTTGGTTTTCTAACAATTAATGATTACAAGGCACTTATGCAAATCCTTTAGATACCACATTTCATTTTCTACTAATCAAGAAGAAAAAACAAAAGTAAAACTCACTCGATAATCATTACCCTAAAAGGTTTAGAATAGCCATATGTTTTGGTGCTGGGGATCAAATCCATGGTCTTGTGCATGCAGGCAAGCACTCTACCACCAAGCCCCTAAAATGACTTTTTTTTTTTGGTCTTTTGAGACAAAGAGTGTTACTATGCAGTTCAGGCTGGCTTTGAAGTATGTAGTCCAAGCTGGCCTTCAATTGGAGGCAAACCTGTCTCAGCGCCCTGAGTGCTGGGATGACAGTTATGCACCACCACACACACCAGGCTAAAATGACTTTTTTGGTACCGGGGATTGAACTCGGGACCTTGCGCTTTTGAGGCAGGTGGGGGCACCATTATGCTAAATCCCCGGCCCTTAAAATGACTTTCTTTAGTCCATTTTTTTTTCTTTTGAGACAAGAGTCTCACTATAAAATTCAGGCCAGCTTTGAACTCACTATGTAGCACAGGCTGGCCCTGAACTCATGGTGATCCTCCTGTCTTAGCCTACCGAGTGTTGGGATTACAGGAGGGTGCCACCATGCCTGACTGGTATCTTAATTCTGAAGGGGAAAAGTTCTGAAATTGTTTTCAAAATGTGGCAAGTCCACACCTGACTTTTTAACGATGAGGTGATGTATTCCTTTTCATAACTGGAGATTGTCTTGTGCGTTTCTGGTGTATCACTAACTTTCCAGGTCCACAAAATAAACCACAATATTCCAAGTATACCTTAAAATAGAAAAATAAGTTAAATAAAAGTTAGAATTATCAACAGTGATTTTTACAGGTCATGACAAAATTATGTAACTATAAATTCATTATAAATTAAATTCAATTTCAAGTTTCACTTTATACTTGATCTTAGCCAAAAGGCTGAGAAGCGATTCAAGTTTCACTTTAATGGAATAATTGCTATAATTGTATTACTTCCTATATATTTTGAAGAAAATTTTTAACCACATGGATGTCTATAGGGTCTTACAAGACAAATCTTTTGAAAATAAATTTGTATAAACTATGTATTTCTATAGGCATCTGCTTTGCTTGTTTTTTAAATTATATTATATATAAAATGCCAATGTGAAAATTTATTAAAATATTGTATTATCCTATGAATTTGAGAAATACCATGATACTAAATTGAAAAAAAAAAGATTTAAACAAGTGAGAGTATCCTACTTTGCTTGAAAATATTCTCAAAACACACATTTTTCTTTTCTTTTTTCTGAGACAGGGTCTTGCTATATAGCTCAGGCTGGCCTCCAACTCACTCTTTGGCCCAAGGTGGCCTTGAACTCATGGTGAGCCTCCTGCCGAAGCCTCCCAAGTGCTGGGATTAAGGTGCACCCCACACACCTAGCTAAAACACATATTTTCTAATACTGAAGATGGTAACTTCTGACATGGAAGTCCATGATTCAACAGCTGTTTCTACTGAGAAATACTCCAAGACTAACATCAGGCCTTAACTCGACAGGATCCTTTTAACCACATCAACCTGAAAAACAGGTCTTTTAGAACTTTGTGGTTAGGGGACAATTACCTCGGTGAGTTGGAATATATATTTTTGGCTAATTATTATACCACCATTACAGTTTTTGTTTGTTATATACTAATTTAGGTTAAAAATTTAAACTTACCAAAAAAATAGAAGACATAAGTCCAATTCATATAGTAGCAAATTATTCCAGAAAGAGGAAGTGAAACCACCGTCCCAAGCTGTGCTCCTACAACAATATGTAAGACTTCATAAGCTCTGGAAGGAGATAAACAGAGCAGGGACAGGTGGGGCTGGGGTGCAGCTCAGCACAGGGCACTTGCCTCCAATGCGTGAGGCCCTGGGTTCTATAACCAGTACTGCACAATATAAATAACCAAACAGACAAATAGCCTAGGGAACAGGTGATAAAGAACAAAAAGAACTACTAACATAGAAAAGAGTTTAATTAGTCACGTATAGCTAAGCAATACATTCTCTCAAGGGATCATTTTCTAGAGAACCTGCAATATGTAAAATATACACATTATGCCATTACATCCGTTACAACTACGCAGCTGTTTATGAATTAGGAGGCATCAGTCACCAGCAGCAGACTCCTTACAGTGGGATGGAGCAGACGCCCCATTGCTGGAAATCCATGTGTTTGGGGAAAAGCGTCAAAGATGGTCTCTAGGATTGATGACTATAGTTTATTACAGCAGACTTGTTGAAAAAAGAATGAAGCTTATCTTACAACAATTGCTTCAGGCACATAAACAATAAAATAAAGCATTTTAACCATCAATGTGAGACATCTTAGTAAATACAATGGGAGGTAAACTGATGAGTCAGATATTATTTGTGGTCCTGAGTTTTAGACTTAGAAGTGGTGGTGTCAGGAAGAGTTAACTGTCAGAGGAATGTGGAGTTCAAAGATGGGAAATATTATTTTTGACCTCCAGAGGGGAGGAAAAGATGTAAGCTCTAGTGGCATCTAGACTTTGGAAAAGGTAAGATTTGACCCAAAGAAACAAAGTAAGAAATAAGATAACACAGGTAGTGCACAGGATAAGTAAAGGAGTGGAAAACAGAGTGGATTTGGGAACTTTACTTGGATGAAGAAAAAGAATAGAAAATTAAGGTTAAAAAACCCAGGTTGAACAGTTAGTTGATTCCACGCCAGGCCCTAAATGCCAGGTCCTAGGTGAGTGACAATGAAGTGGTGAAGGCTAAAAAATCTTGAGCCTTAGGAATTTAGACTTTAGTACATACACAGGGGACTATTTTGGAATTAAACATCAGATTCTTTTGTTTGTTTTTGATTTTTAGGTTTTTGTTGGTATTGGGGATCAAACCCAAGACATTAAGATCTGTCATGTCAATCTCCTCACAGCTCCACGAATGATCTTAAAATGAAAACAGGATCTTGTCTTTCACTGAATTAAAAATTTCTAATGCCTCCCCATTGTATTTTGGGGAAAATATATACATTCCTTTCTGTAGCCCGTAAGGTTTGATACGATCCAGTTCTTGTCTATTTCTCTAATCTCATCTCAGGCTGCAACCTCCTTTATTCATTACAATCTGATGGTCTCCCATCCCGGGTGGTCTGCCATTTCTGTGGACTGTTATCTTATTCCCTGCCTGAGAGAACTTATACATGTTGTTCTGGAGTCTGGAATGCTCTTCCCTCTGCTCTGCCCTTTGCATGACCAGTTTGTTCTTCTCCTTTGGATTTTAGCTTCTAAGTCACCACAGACAGGCCTTTCTCAAATCAGCCACATGGAAAATTTTCCACCCAGTTAATGGAAGAAAGGCCAGACAGAGGCTCTTCTATAATCTGGTAAAATATAATTTACATTCACAAAGCTCACGTTATCTAATCCATAGCTCAAAATGATGCCAAAGAAATGCATAGAAAAAAGATGCAAGAAGAGAGAAGTTGAGAGTCACAATACACTCATGACATATCAACTCAGAAATCACAATTAGGGCTGGGGATTTAGCTCAGTGGTTCAGGCGCCTGCCTCGAAAGCGCAAGGTCCCGAGTTTGATCCCTGGCACACATACACACACAAAACCCCCCAAGAAACAGAAATCACAATTAAGGGGCAAAAGTGCTCAATTTTCCAGCTACTGTTTATTTATTTTTCAAAATACATTGCATTCTCTATATCAACATTTGATAAGATAACATACTTGGAGGCTCTCTCTCTCTTTTTTTTTTTTCCTGGTACCAGGGATAGAACTCAAGACCTTGCACTTTCAAGGCAGGCACAGTGCCACTGAGCTAAATCCCTGGCCCAATAACATACTTAGAAATAAATGGTGGCAAATGGGGAGGATAATATTAGTCAATTAAGACAGATTACTACATACTGCTGAATCAAAAAGAAAAATGAATAATAAAGTTGTGCTCCCTTCCCCCAAGTTTATTTTCTCCCCAAAGAAACATCCAATTGCATGGTTCTGGCTGGCAGGTACTTTTCCCCCAAGGTTGGGAAATACATAATAAATTACAGCAAAAATTCTACGAGAAGAATAGCCCCCTTACCTGCGTATGAGATGCTGAGAAGCTTGCTTCTTTCAAGAGGGGGAGCCCAAGAAGACCACATAGTGTGCATGGCTGGAAAGGTAACACCCTGGGGGAGGGGATATTTCAGATGAAATACAAGGTAGCTCATGTTAACATTTTAAATTAAATTGAGTATTTTGTTACAAAAGAAGTTTTTTTGGATAAGAATCAAACCAGATTCAGGCTCCATGAAGTGAAATGTCTTTATAGTGCTAAGTGAAAATGCCTTTCAATGAAGCGTTTTTAAAATGGACGATTCATGTGTTTTGAACTGGCCTGGTGACTGCACGGTAAGGGTTACAGTAAACCTGAAAGAATGCACTGAGTGATGACATAAAGGGATCACTTTCAAGGTGTATTTTACTCGTTCCCTTTATTAATGGCCTTGATGTAATGCAAATATTGGCAATTTGTAAGTTTTAAAAATATGGAGGTATGGCCGGGGATTTAGCTCAGTGGTTCCTGCACCTGCCTTGTAAGTGCAAGCAAGGTCCCAAGTTCGATCTCCGGTACCAAAAAAAAAAAAAAGAATTAAAAAATTTGATTTTCAGTACTAGAGATTGAACTCAGGACCTTTACACTGAGCTATACCCCAGGCTTTTCAATTTTTGAGACAGAGTCTTGCTAAATCCTAAATTGCCCAGGCTGGGCTGAAACGTGTGATCCTCCTGCCTCAGCCACCCAGAGTGCTGGAATCATAGGTGAGCGCTACCATGCCCCACCTGCTTCTGGTTAACCTTTGTTCCAACCTGTTACTGTCCACTGTTTCTTTCTGGCTTATATTCACATTAAAGAATTAAATTTTTTTTTTTTTTTGGTTCTGGGGATCGAACTTGGGTCCTTGCGCTTGTGAGGCAGGCGGCAGACGGCAGAACCACTGAGCTACATCCCCAGCCCCAAGAATTAAATTTTTTTTTTCAGGTACTGGAGATTGAACTCAGGACCTTGTGCTTTCGAGTCAGGCGTGGCACCACTGAGCCAAATCCCCAACCCAAGAATTAAATCTTTAAGAAGAGGAAATAAGGGCAGGGGATTTAGCTCAGTGGTTCCTGCGCCTGCCTTGCAAGCGCAAGGTCCCGAGTTCGATCACCGGTACCAAAAAAAAAAAAGAGGAGGAAATAAAGGACAGACAGAGTTACCTCCCCTAGTCCCTCCAGCGCTCTGAGCATGATGAGCATCACAGCTCCGAGGTCTGCAGCAATGGGTGTCAGCAGTGTGAAGAGAGAGGTGGCGAGGATCCCATATCCTAGCAGCAGCTTTCCCCCTATTTTGCTGGCAAAATATCCTCCGGGAATCTGTGTGATGATGTAGCCATAGAAAAAAGCACCGAGAATCCATCCTTGAGTTTCTGCATCCCAAGGGTACCTTTTACCCTGGAAAAAGCACAAGGAAAAACTAATTCTTTCAGACTTTGTTTGAACAGTTCCCTTCCCTTAGCGAGGTAAGTACATATAAATGAAAAGGGGAACCATTATTTGAATCCAGCGAGTGCTGGCCTATATCCCCAGTCCTTTTATTTATTTTTGGTTTGTTTTTAGACAGGGTCTTGCTATGTAGTTCACGAGTTCAGGCTGTCTTTGAACTCCACCACAATCTTCCTGCCTCAGCCTCCCAAGTGCTGGGATCAGAGGGATGTGCCACCAAACCTGGCCCCAGTCCTTTTAAAATTTTAAGGCAGGGGTGCCCAGTCTGGCCTCAAATTTGTGATCCTCCTGTCTCAGCCCCTCAAGTGGTTGTGATTACAAAGGTTTGCCACCACACCAAGCAGAACCAGTTTTTGACTGAAAAATTTGTAAATTTTCTAGTGGGTGGGTGGGTGAGTTATCACAATACCAACAAGCAGTTTCTGTAAGTGGAAAAGAACTGAAAGTCAGACTTCACCAAGGGTTGTTATTTCATTAAACTAGAGGATGAGCTGTCAACCACGAAGACTCAAAGAGCCACTGGTATAATCTGGAAGGTATTAAACAAGACACTAGAGGGCCAGGGATTTAGCTCAGTGGTTCTACCACCTGCCTTGAAACCGCAAGGTCTCAAGTTTGATCCCTGGTACCAAAAAAAAAGACACTAGCAACTGAGCCACAGTTTAAAGCCAGGTCTGAGCTTAAGCCTAGGTGGATCACTTTTTGGGTATGGGGTCTGGGAAGATTAAATGAAAAAGGCACACAAGACAAGGCCTGCTGCACTATAAGTGTTGACTTAACGTTGGCAATGAGCATGCATAAATACAGATAATGAGAAGCTCCCCATTTCAGACCACACACTTGAACAAGCACATGGAATACTACAAAAGAGCAAGAATTTGGGCCAGGGATTTAGCTCAGTGGTTTTGCCGCCTGCCTTGAAAGCGCCAAGACCTGAGTTCGATCCCCGGTACCAAAACAAAACAAAACAAAAATAATAAATAAAAAAAGCAAAAATTTAAACTAAGCTATAAACTTCACACGAGAGGACCTGTCTTTTAATTGGCAGCAGCTCAAGTCAGATACTAATGGACCTTTAGTGTCTGGTCTGAACAGCTGACGCCTGTAAGGCATGGAGTTGTACAGACAAGCCACTGTGTCACGAACATTCTAGGACTTCCTTTTATGGCCTTCACCTGGGAGATGAAGATAAATGGCTGGCTCAAAGTCAAAGGGAAACACAGTAAGGAAACCACTTTGTATCCAATTTGTACTTTACCTGTAGAATTCTAGGTTTCATGAATTGTCCAGCAGTGTTACCCAGAAGGTCATAGGTTGGAGTGGAGAAACTGTGTGATTCGTAACCAAATATGTTGTTCAGCAACATTGTTAATGTTAAATAAAGCAGAGTAAAATACTGTGAGTGTGTAAAACTCAACTCTAAACAAATGAACATGCATTTATCAATACCTCTATAACACGAGGCAGGCAAGATGACTTAAAAGTAAGTTAGAAAAAAAAAGTAACTTAGGTTAGGCATATTCATTTATTTACTTATTTTTAATTACCTTTTTTTGAGGTAGGATTGTTTTATATAGTTTAGGCTGACCTTGAATTCACTATGTAGCCAAGACTGGCCTTGAACTCACACATGGCGATCCTCCTGCCTCAGCCTCCTCAGTGCTTGGCTCACGGGTGTGCACCATCACACCTGGCTATGCCATGTTTAAATTCCAGAAAAGAATGTCCTAAGAAGCTGAGTAGTTTTTATTTCTCATCCTGCACCTGAGATTACCTAAACTCTCTACAGCTGTAACCCTGTAAGTGCAAGAGCTACTGAATAACAGTCCTATAAAAACTATTTAGCAATATTCAAAACAATCTGATTTTCTGATATACCAAACAAGTTTTTTCAAATTTTTTCTCAAGGATGGTGTAGTTGTGAGAAAACTGAAGAACTACTCACCAAACAGATCAAGGCGTATGATACCCCAGCCACAGTAGTTATGGTTATGTTACTGTTCAACCCGTCCCTGGGAGAACACAAAGAATGTGACCCAGAGGACACATAAAAACGAATGTTTTGGTTTCTTCTGGATGAAGGGACTCTAATGTTTTTACTTAGAAGTATTTTAGGATTAGTTAAGATTGTCTGCTTAAAAAATAGCACCTACCGTTTGATTATGAGGAACTTTCACGAGATCTGAATGCTCTGCACATTCCTTAGAAGTTCTATTGTCTGCTGCAGTTGTGTTTGAATCTACCATTTCCACTAATGCGACACTCAGGTTCACACGTAAGGCATAGAGAACGAAGAAACCAAAAAAGGACAAAATTGCTAAGTTATAACGAGCAGAGCAGCACACTGGAGCTGAAATAAAGATCAGAAGAAAATGTTAAGGAACAAATTGGGTAATACTGTCTAAAGCATGGAACAGCTTATTTTTCAGAAGTACACAAATTAATAATCGTGAATATTTTCTGGGCCTTGCCGCAGATTAAAAAGATGCCTCAAGGCTGGGGATTTAGCTCAGTGGTTTCGCTGCCTGTTGTGCAAGCCCAAGGACCCCCCCCCCCAAAAAAGTAAAAAGATTCCTCAAAGAGAATGAGTTCTCCATATCTGTAGTTTTGACAAAAATTGAATGTGAGAGCCTGAACTATAAGGCAGCTTATAAAATATTAGTAGCTGTATCACCTTTGCTCAGAAGAACCTCTGTTCCAGAATCAATGAATTCCTTAACCCAGTCAGCTCACAAAAGTATAGCATGGGACAAACAGGGACGGGTTTAATGGCATCATCACTGGTCCTAAAAAACTACCTAAATCAAAGCCAATAAGTATGTGAGTGCTTACGCCACCTACATGACTGACAACAGGACAGCAGAATTTCATTGTAAATGTAGCACAGAAAAAAATTATCGAAGAACAGGGTACAAAACCCCTCTTAATGAAGCTCTTACCCTGGAGAATATCCTCGGAGGCCATGATTAACACTGAAGGCTCTCCTAACCCTAATATTTCTAAGAACCAGGAGGCAGCCTTTCAGAACCTATGACAGTTGCAGCATTGACAGTTGCTCAATAGTTACTGAGCTTAAAGGGCCCACAGCAAAAAGAGAAGTGAATGGACCAAAGGGAGAGTAGAGTGGAGGAACCGATGAAAGAATGATCACATGATAGCAGGAATGTGATCTAATTTTTTTTTTTTTGGTACCAGAGATCAAACTCAGGACCTTGTGCTTGCAAGGCAGGCGGTGGCACCACTGAGCTAAATCCCCGGCCCCTGACCTAATCTTTTTTTTTTTTTTTTGGTACCGGGGATCAAACTTGGGTCCTTGCGCTTGTGCAGCTGGTGTCGAAACCACTGAGCTAAATCCCCGGCCCCCCTGACCTAATCTTTAAGGGAAGGCTTATGTACGTATTTCCCTTTTCTTTTTTTATTGAGTTATAGAATTGGACAGGATGGGAATTCAGGAAGCTGAGGGTGTTCAGCCTCTTTTAGGGACAAGGAGAAATTGGCGAATGCAGGATCTGTGCACCTTTAGGTTTGGTAAATACTGACTGTTGGATAAGTACCTGTTTAAAATCTGGGGGAGGTAACCCCAGCTACCTGAGGAAGCTGAGGCTAAGGAAGGATTCCTTGAGCTCAGGAGTTTGGGACCAGTCTGAGCAACATAGTGAGACCCTGTCTTTTAAACAAACCAAACCAAACCGAAACATTACATTCCAGGCTGGGGTTGTAGCTCAGTGATAACAGTACTTGCCTAGCATGTGGGAGGCCCTGGGTTCCATCCTCAGCAAAACACACACACACATACACACACTGGTACAACAATAACAATAGCAACAAATCTGTTTAAAGCCACAGACACCTGGGCTGGGGATATAACCCACAGTGAGGGTGCTGGACCCCAGCACCACAAGAAAAGAAATATGAACACGGTTCATTAGATGATGACAAATTAAATACATATATGAAGATATATATGCTTTTATTTGGCAATGACACATTAATATTACATAGAAATGTGTGTGCTTCCTTTCTACTCAAGTGTTCTGCTGTTTTCACCGACCTAACCTCAAACAAGAAAACATTTTTCAGAGTACAAATGTCTTGGTGCTGTTGCAGATAGATTTACTCAGATTGAAACACTAATGAAAATGGCACAACTACACTTGGGTACATATTGATATGCTGTGATCTCATTTACTTGTCTATACGCCTTCACTGTTATTGGCTGCAGCCAGTCTGTTCTCTGTGCAAGTTAGCATAAAATGTCTCACTTGGTATTCTCCGGTCCTGTTCCAAGGGTATGGCTGTTAGGTCCAAATCAATGAGAACTGTATTTCTTTTCTCTTTTCTTCTCTTTTTTGGCTTTTTGACCCAGGGTCTTGCTGTGTAGTTCAGGCTGGTCATGAACTATGTAGCCCAGGCTCACCTCAAACTCACGGCAATCCTGCTCAGCTTCCTGAGTGCTGGGATTACAGGCCTGTGCTACCACACTTGGCCTCACAGTTACTCAGGAGGCTGAGTCAGGAAGATCACAAATTCAAGGCTGGCCTGGGCAATTTATTGAGAGCCTATCTCAAGAAAAAAAAGTGTTAAATACTTTGCCACAAGAAAATCCAGATCCAAGTACTAGATCTGCTTTACCAGACACTTAAAAAAATTTATATCTATCTACTTTAGCAATGGAGTGACAAGAAGGCTCCATTCACTCTCTTTCACCTGAATTGACCCAGATTTGCTCTCTGCTCCAACCATAGAGGCAGCTGTCTCTTGTAAGGCATATTTTATAGCAGAACACACTTTAAAAAAATCCTTTCTGGGCCGGGGATTTAGCTCAGTGGTTCCAGCGCCTGCCTTGCAAGCGCAAGGTCCAGAGTTCGGTTCCCGGTACCAAAAAAAAAAAAAGACAAAAAAATCCTTTGTGTCTTTTATTTTTATTTATTTTTTATTTTTGGTACCAGGGATCGAACTTGGGACCTTGCGCTTGTGAGGCAGGCAGAGGAACTACTGAGCTAAATCCCCAGTCCCCTCCTTTCTGTCTTTTAAAAAATCCTTTCTTCTTCTCTTTCTCTTCCTTTCTGGTGCTACTTGGCACTGAATCCATGGCCTCTGCACTAAGGTACACCTCCAACTCCTTATCTCCATCCTTTTATTTTTTTTTTTTCTGGTACCAGGGATCAAACTCAGGTCCTTGGACTTTCGAGGCAGGCGGTGGAACCACTGAGCTAAATCCCCAGCCCTAATCCTTTTATTTTTTAAAGAGAGGGCCTTGCTAAGTTGCCCAGGCTGGCTTGGAATTTAAATCTTCCTACCTCAGCTGTCTGAGTAGCTGGGATTATAGGCATTCACCACCACAGCCAGAAGAACACATTTTCTCTTTCATTATTTGGTCAGACAATATTACATGGGAAGTCTGGATGGGGGAACTATAATTTTGTCAAATTTGGGCAATTAAAGTGTGTTAATTTGAGCTAGGGCATGGGGGCACATGCCTGTATCACAGTCACTTGGGAGGCTGAGTCAGGAGGACCACAAATTCAAGTCTGTCCTGGGCAATTTATTGAGAGCCTAGCTCAAGAAAAAAAAGCGTTAAATACTTTGGCACAAGAAAAATCCAGATCCAAGTACTAGACCTGCTTTACCAGATATTTAAAAAATTTATATATATCTACTTTAGCAATGGAGTGACAAGATGTGATTTTTGGTTTAAAGAGTGTATCTGGCTGTGCATGGTGGCACACACCTATAATCCCAGTTACCAGGGATTATAGGGATACTAAGTGAGCTCAGGCAGGAAGATACAAAGTTTCAGGGTAGCCTGAGTAATTTAACAAGACTGTCTAAAAGTAAAATCAAACAGCCTGGGATGTAGCTCAGTGGTAGAGTACTTGGCTTAACATATGCAAGGCCTGGTTCAATCTCCAGCACCACCAAAAAAAAAACAAAAACAAAAAACACACACCTTACTGTTCTGTGACAATTACTGAGGTGACAAGTGTGAATGGATGTGCAGTAACAAGTTCAAGATCATTTAAGGCAGTAGTCCCCAACCTTTTTGGCACCAGGACTAACGGTTTTATAGAAGACAATTTTTCCACAGACCTGAGGCCGGGGGCTGGAATGATTAAAGAGCATTATATTTATTGTGTACTTTATTTCTATTATTATTAGATTGTAATATATAATTAAATCAATATACAACTCACCATACTGCAGAATCAGTGAGAGCCCTGAGCTTTTTTTCCTTCAACTAGATGATCCCATTTGGGAGAGATGGGAGACAGTGGCATCTGACCTGTGTAGCTTATGTCCAGTCTACTCTGTCACTTTGTTTTTGATGCTGTCACTGCAAAAGACCCTGCTTCATAATGATAGGATGTTAGAAGTAGACTCTTCAGTACTTTTGTGGAAACCTCAGGATGTTCTTCCTTGATTTGAACCCAGAACATATGGACACTTGAAATTGTCTCAAACATACTTTAAGGCCACCATAATCTGTGATCTCAAAAGTTCATCCTCTTCTAGCACAGATAAACTCAAGGGTTATTTACCTGGCTTATTCACAAATGCATCTTGGGTCCATTCCTTTCCAGTTTGGGTCTTCTTTGGCTAGGAAGTAATGTTTAAGCTCTTCTGAAAGCTGACATAGGTGCTCATGCACCAGCTAGGAGAAAGAAGGCTCCAGCTCAGTCTCTTTCAAAACTTCTGCAAACATTTAAAATATGCCAAAAATCCCAATGTTTACTTTTTGTCCTCATAATTCCAATTTGGCTTTGAATGCACCCACTTTATCTGACTTGAACATAGTTGATATTCTCCCTTGAAGTAACAGAATGAGTTCGCTGAACAGGTTGAGTATGTAAAAACTGAAATACTCTAGCCAGTGAGACAGAATTCTCACTTCTGTGTATAAGATGCATGTACTTGAAATCCATCTCCTCATACAGCTGCACAAACAGACGGATTAGGGGCATGCTTTTAATGTGGTTGATCATTTTAATCACATCCTGCAAAACCAGTAAGTTCAGGTGACAGCCAACATTTCTCTATTGATGACACAGCTTGTAGACTCACATTCAGAAGCGACCTCTCTGATTCAAGCAGTGAAACCAGAAAGCTGTCTATGCATATACCAAAATGACCAATTCCGTTTTCTTAATATGTAATCATTCAAAGACTTGAATATGCCTGCAGCTGTGATGTTGGCTGGCAACAAAAGTGCACATATCTTCATGCACATCCTCTTGAAAAATATATTGTTGCCAAAACAAGTATTGTTGCCTTGTTGTAACATTGGTTAAACTCATCAACCTGGATTGGCTACCACAGTGAGTTAAGAGTCTTTTCTAACAACTGTGCCTC